CGACCATTTGGACTAACAAATAAAACTGAACATGAGCGATTTGTATGAAAAATATTTGAAAACAGCGGTAGAGAACGCAAAAACTCACAATTTCGAAACTAAATTCGAGTGGTTTGAAATGAGTTGTTGAATGGCGGTCAAAGAAGCCAGATTCGCTGAACGATTCAACTTGATCTGCTGAGCATGTTCCAGCAGAATGCTCTTCAGCCATAATTGCCATAACTGGATGTGACGCTGTGCTAAGGTGTTCTTACCATTCGATAACCACTGCAACAGTTTCTCTGCGTATATAATCGCTAACGATCGCGTGACAACATCAACTGAAAGCATTCATTACTCGACGTAACCATGAAATATTACAACAGTTAATGCAATGAAATAACTGCACACGAATATTTATCGCAATGCGCCGTTCTTCATTCAATTTGCATTATTCCTGTACAAGTAAGTAATTGCTCTTGAAATGGATGGAAACCATCTAAGCAAATATTTGTATCACACCGACAGTCATTTAGTTAAAAAGTTGAGAAATAATGAACGTATAAGCACTCAAAATCAGTCTTAATGAAATTTTAAACGAATTTGAAAGGATAGATAACAGCCATACATACACTCTAACATACGGCTACAAAGCCAAAAAACTAAAGATACTCAAACAATTTCGTCTTCATCAAGAAATATCTTCAGAGATGAGACTAAAACGATCCGTCGAGAAGGATAAACCAACCTTGTGCGAGTGGTGTGGCCAGAACACATTGCTCTATCAGTTGAGCGTCGTTCAAACGCAATGCCATTACCAATGCATGCGAATACTCTGCTTGGGCGAGTTTTTGCTTGATTCCTTTTGGTGTTACCTCTACGTTTAGCTCATATGGATCGAATATCAAACGATTATCTCTCGAGAACACGCACACACCTTCGGTTGAACAGACGGCAAAACTCAATCCTTAAAGAAACGATCTTTTAATTACTCATATTTACAATTCACTTTGTGAAATCACTTATGGAATTTCATTCAGTCTTCGACAACTTAATGAATTAATCAAAAATCCAATGTGGAATTACAGATTCTAGAGCAAAAATTCCTCCTTCAGCAGGATTCAAATGCGGTTTCAACTCGAACAACGTTTCACGATGCACCAACACCACTGAATTAAACGAGTCTGACTGATACTTACAAATTGGATCATTAGTTCATAACTGATCGAATGAAGGCAATCAAAACGACAAAATCACACCGGTAGGTGAAAAGTTGATGTGCTGAACGCGTATTTCAGGTTTGGCTGACCGTTCGGCCATATCCGAATGTTTCGTACCGGCCAATTTGATACGTTTCTTACCGTCCGCTTCATCCTCACTGTCTGATGCATCCACCAGTGCCATATTACCAAATTCCGTAAGATTACGGCGATTTATATCCAACTGAAAATATTTCACGAGATCAAAATGCGAACTCCTCTAATTCTATATTGGAAATAAAAAAGTAACATGATTCACAAACACCGAATATTTGGGAAAATTCAAAATCTCAGCTGTTTTTTGAACGAACCTATACATCGCTTGCGTCACGAAACAATAGCTTAGTACATAGTAAGACCGGATCGATTCTCATTTAATTTCTTTTTTTTCACATCGCATATTTTATTCGGAATTCAATTAGCTTCGAAACGCCGATGTAGTGAAATCAATTGAGCACTCACCGTAACTCCATCTAAACTTCGATTAGTAGTCAACTTGAATTTTCTGACGATAAGCCTTTCAGCCACATTGTACATACAAATATAATTCGATCGACCCGCAGCAAGGATGAATGCACCATCAGCCGAAAAACAAATACACGTGAAGGACCTGAAAAAGAACACATTCAGTTAAGATTGCACTCAACGAATGTCCAATAATCGACCGAAAAATAAAACTGGAAACGAACGATATCAAACAAGAACACAAAATGACAACCAACTTGCTCTTCTGACCGGTCTCCTTCTTGATCAATTCAGTCGTATTACGTGCCGCATCCACATCCAACTTCGTATCAATGCTTCCCCATTGCGTCGACGATTCAGAGTCGAACAGCGTTATCGAACCGTCTAAACACAACACCTAAAAGCAAAATTGAAAGTTATTTGATCTCAGAGAACATCACCAGAAAATCATCAGCAACGATTTCATCGATCGATCAATTTTCGATGAACTCAATGAAATGATATTGATCTTTCATGAAATAACGTAGAGATCTTAGTATTTTCAGCGACTTGTAAATTTCTCAAGTTATCCACTGCACGATCACAGTCTATCGACTATCAAACGAAGTCTCTTTGTAATTGAGTAACGTACCGCAATATTTTGTCCCGATGGCGAATAAGAAACGTCGAGTGCTTCATCGATCAATTCAATAGTTTCTGACGATTTCGATTCAACAATACTCCAAATCCGCATTGTTTTATCCCATGACGCCGATACTACGAACGTTCCTGAAAACAACTATTGGCATTAGTTAATCAGAGAGATTTCCCACTTGTAAAATTACGTATTTCTACCGATGACGCGAGTAGATATTGATCAGCTTCCAATGAAAAGTTAATTGAATGAAAAGAATATGCATGGAACATTTTTCTAACGGCAACCACTTTTAATACTTAAGTTTATAGCGAGGATTATAGATTTTTTAAAGAAACAAATAATCGCAGCATCAAATTTTGCCTATGGACAGTTTTCCGACAGAGGGTTTGCGCCTTGAAGATATTGTTCCGAAAGGATATTATGCATACAGCATTTGGACATTCCGCGATTATCGCGAGCCAACTGCTCGAATCTCATAACAAACCCTCAATATAAAGCATTACCATGAATTGAGATGGCTGGAATCGGTGCACTATGACCCGATAAGACATCCAGTAATCGACCATTTTCAAGACTCCAAACGAATATATTATAGGTATCAACTGATGACGCAACCACTAAATCGCCAGACGAATCCACCGCTAAACTACCCAGCTGAGTCTGTTCTGGACATACCAACGTCCGAAAATTACGATACCTGCAAAAAAATGTTTACGATGGAAATATCGACGAATAGAAAGGAAGCATATTGCTGTTTGCTGCTTGTTCGGTTCGAACTCACCATATGGCATAAAAAATCACAATTCATCAAGATCACCACTTACTAGATGTGGATTGATAAAAACAACGAGACAAACCTCTGAAGATCGTGCGCTCGTACAGTTCCATCGAATGACGACGACAAAATCGCTTTACCGTCAGATATCCAACACACCGCACTTATGCCACTTGTATGCTCAGTGAATGTCACAACGCAGAACGAAGAACGACAATTCCAAATTTTCACCTCCAAATGAAAATTTATTCAAACTATCAAAAGTATTGGCATGAAGAAGTTCCATTTCGCAACGCTCTCATTCTGACCATACTAATACCATTCGTTCTGCATACTCATTTCCAAATTAAAAATCTCACTTGAAAATCTTAAATGCCTACCTAATTTATTAATCCATTTCTAGAAACAAACGATAATACTACTAATAAACATGAATAACGATATTTGCAGAGAAATGCAAACGAAAGTTTCTATTCCGCAAAAAATAACTTAGTCTAAAGTGAAAAACCTTGCCATCCTCAGCACCAGTGGCCAGCATCGATCCATCCGGTGAATAAGCGCAAGTGGTCACTGTCTGACTATGAGATTGTTGTTTCATAACGTACGTCTCGCTCTGCCACTCCCAAACCACCAACTGCGCATCGCTCCCCTTCCCACATCCAATCGCAATCCAATCCCCACTCTTATTCACATTCATACTCATCACTTCCAATTCTGATATCCTGCAAATCCAAAATTAACATCCGTTCCTTCAACACATAAACTAATAATCATTTGATAAATTTACGGCTACGCTATTCAAAGAATTTTGCATAATTAAATGAGAAAATAAATAATGATAACGGAATGTAATGAATTTTGATAACAGAGTATGCGCGAAACACCAAAACGATATGCAAAGAAACAAACAATCGCAAAGAAAATAGGTTTGAATAATAGAGAGGACTGATATGTGAAACAACCTCAAACTATGTATAAGACTGAACGAAGGTAGCTCATGAAGCAGGAAAACACCGTTGGTGAACGCTGTCACGAGGAGATTCGTTGGCGAATGATATGTGCATGCCGATACGTCTACTCCTTGGGAACTGTTACCGCTCAGGTCGTCGAAAAGATTGCGCCTGAAATATTTGACGATATAAACGACTCTGCCAAAGTTTTCATTCATAAAAAATCTGCTAATAAATAGCAGATTCCTGCAACTGCAAAACAACAGAAGACCGTTAAAAATTCTCGGTTAGAATTCGAATGTTTTTGAAATAAATTGCCCTCAATAATTCCGATGATGAGACAGAAAATGAACTAACTACAGTGAATTTTCAAAGGAAAAAAAACGAACCGTTCACTTTTATCATACAGCATCTTCTTCACTTCATCTGATGTTTCACTATTGCAAACGCCGCTCACCAGATCGCCAGCCGTTAGAGAGCAACTCCATAAATTCGCTAATCCACGACTGCCGACAGTAATTAACTGGAAGATTCGTGAAAAATCACAGTCAAAATTACTCCTCAAGGCGATTCTGATTGCAATTTGCTTTTTGATCGCAATTAAAAATTAAAAGAAGCTGCTGTGATATCCTTTAGTAGAAGAATAATAATTTCAGC